ATTCGACGGGGGTCATTATTCGTCTTTACACCGGAATGTAAATTAGACAGGTCGATAGGTCAGGAGCTAAGGAGGCCTAGTACACATGCAAATATTCACGAAAATTTCGTGCGGCTGCCATTGTGTTTGACGTCAGAGAGCGAGGGCCATGAAATTGGGGTTTGAATCCTCGTGTAATTTAAATGTATGTCTGCAATTTTAAAGTCTAAATCTACAATTTTATTTCACAATGAAATGGAAATATAATAAATCACTGTCTAGTTAGTATAGTATGCCAGGGCATCAACAATAGTGGGAAACGTGGGATAATTTGCATAACGGGCGAAGCTATACTAACTAGGCAGTGATTCCTTAAGAAGATCCTGGAATCTCTGACGAGTGTAGCAAATAACCAATAAGGGCACTTCTTACAGTAAGAAGGTGGGACTTTACATCAGTCAATCAGGCGATTTGAGAATTTATAGGTCACCAAAACAGATCGCTTAATGGTAGCTTAATGGTGACTTAATGGTGGCTTAAAGAAATTAATTCCTTTAAACCACCAGTATTTCCATTTCTAATTTTTTTCTCTGTGATAACTCTTTGAAAGTTGTCGGAGTTTATTTCTTGATAATTCTGCCGGAATGTAAATTAGGCAGGTCGATAGGTCAGGAGCTAAAGAGACCTAATACGCATGCAAATCTCGTGCGCATCTGTCTCTGTGTCTGACGCTAAGGAGGCCAAATATGCATGTAAATCTCGTGCGGCTGCCTTTGTGCACATGTTTGACGTCAGTGGGCAAGGAATATTGAAATTAGCATGGAAGTCCTCGTGTGATTTAAGTCTATGTCTACATTTTTAAAGTCTAAATCTACAATTTTATTTCACAATGAAATGGAAATATAAGGAATTAACACATATTGTTCAAATTGCAAATATGATATTACTAACCTTGTTCACAAGGTCACAAATGTTTGTTATATACGGCATCACGGGCTTCGCCCGTTAACAAATTTTTGAGCAACTACACTATGATGATCGCTGATGTCCCGCCATTACTCTCCGCACATTACACAAGATGGAATTTTCCAAGTGACGCTACCAGTTTTAAGCGAAAACACAAAATAATATATCACTTTACCTATCTCGAACAGTGCACGGGTTATCGCTTAATGGTGGTAGGCTTCTAAAATATTAAACTTTTACGCATCTTATTTATATCGAATCTTTGAAATAACTTTTTAAGTTATTCCAATATCATTTGCACAAAATATATTTCTACTCATAATTTTGTCTCAATCGTCATTTCTATATAACATTTTTGTCATCATGTATAAACTCGGGCACTGAGAACAAAGTTAGCGAATAGCCACAGGGGTTTGCTCCCGCTGTCTAATTATTATTTTTAAAAAATCATTTACATTAATAATAAAAAGACATGTTTTATCACTACCGTACATGTATTCGATTTTTTTAAAAAAAGATAATTATTACATGCCTTGTTTTTATTATTAGTGTATATGATTTTTGTGTTAAAAAATAAATAATTGTAATAATATTACATACCGGGAGCAAGCCGCTGTGAAATATCTTAATTTTTCACTACCGAAAATCAATTTGTTTTTAAATTATCTTTATCCATGAACACAAAATATATATTATTTAAAAAAAAAGATACTTGTATTTTTATTTCATGTGTTATAGGCAACATTCTGCTACAGAATTCAAAGGAATATAAAGTCATGTTATCATGAAAAAAATCTCTCTCTTTTTAATTTTTTTTTGGGGGGGGGGGGATACCGGTATAAAATGTTTAGTTTTCAAAGATTGATTTTAAGATCATGAATAATTTGAATTGATTCGTTATTTTTTTTTATATATAATGCAGCGGTAAGTTTATGTCAAAATCTAGTCGGTCTTCAATGATTGTTATTTCAAAATCGATTTTTAAAAGAATAGCCGATCAGATTTAACATGACATCCGACCAGGGGGGCGTAACACAAAGGCTACTTAAGTCTAAGACCGTGCTTAAGTAGGACTTAAGTACAGTCTAAAACTTAAGACTGTAACTAGAAGCGTTCTAAGAATTGGCAATCTTAGCAAAAGTTAGGCGGCCGGTAGAGGTGACTTAAGTAATTTTAACTTTCATGTACATATACTGAGTATTTAGAATTATTTTATGTTGACTTTTGATGTTAAAACATTCCTCTATTCATATCATGCATTAAGAAAATAATTATCTCTATTTGACGCTGATTTAATGGGGTTGGGCGGCTGATCACTGATTCCAATATCACCCCCAACACAACCTACATGTAAATACAAATTCAATATTAGGGATATATACGTCTGAAATTAGTGGGACCTCGATTATAGAAATAAATTGAACACAGTAAAAAACCATGGATCTGTATGTTCACTTTGAATATATGAGTTGAAATAATTTGTTAAAAACAGAAAAGAAAGAAGAAAATGACAGTAACAATATATTATAAAAAGTATCTGTAAAGTAGAATAAATGTAGAACGCTACAAGTGCAGATTAAGACAGGGCTCACTACAGATCTTGAGATAGAGAGAGAGAATTGCTGATAAGTGGAGACATACGATAGTATGAAAAGATGATTTATCAAAAGTTGTTTTACGTACGTCCAATAGGGCAAACCAAAAATAAATAAAGAAAAAACGAAAATAATCTCGTTTTTCTTTATCTAATGATTTCGTTTTTCTTTATTTAATAATTTCGTTTTCCTTTATTTCATAATTTAGTTTTTCATAATTCATTAATTTTGTTTTTCATTATTTAATAATTTCCTTTTTCTTTATTTAATAATTTCATTTTCTTTATTTAATGATTTATTATTTTCTTTATTTCATAATTTCGTTTTTCTGTTTTTTAATAATTTCATTTTCTTTATTAAATAATTCATTATTTTCCTTATTTCATAATTTCGTTTTCCTTTATTTCATAATTTTAGTTTTTCATTATTTAATAATTTCCTTTTTCTTTATTTAATAATTTCATTTTCTTTATTTAATAATTTATTATTTTCTTTATTTCATAATTTCGTTTTCCTTTATTTCATAATTTCGTTTTTCATTATTTAATAATTTCCTTTTTCTGTTTTTTAATAATTTCATTTTCTTTATTAAATAATTCATTATTTTCTTGATTTCATGATTTCGTTTTTCTTTATTTCATAATTTTCGTTTTTCATTATTTAATAATTTCATTTTCTTTATTTAATAATTTGTTATTTTCTTTATTTCATAATTTCGTTTTCCTTTATTTCATAATTTCGTTTTTCATTATTTAATAATTTCGTTTTCCTTTTTTAAATAATTTCATTTTCTATATTTCATAATTTATTATTTTCTTTATTTAATAATTTCGTTTTTCTTTACTTATTTTTGGATTGCACTACTGGGCTTCCGTTGTTTAGGTAGTATACTTTGAATATCGTTCAACCGAAACTTTCCACGAGGTAAAATTTAAGTAATGTCGAGGTTTGTAGAGATCCACGAATTTATGTCCACAAAGAAATATGATTTTTCACATACATGTACATTTCTTCTCAACTATTCATAATTCAAGAATTCAATTACATGTACTTGAATTTCTTTTTTTTTCTCTCCGAATCACAAAAAATTGTTCTCAAAGGTACGTGATTTTAAACAGACACTTGGTGAATGGTTATCCCACCCATTTACATTTTTCATTTCGTAACTGGGACCCATATGGCATTTTCCTCTTCTTTTTATTATATGCTCTATATGTCATGGATAATGTAACCTATTTGTACATTTGTCTCTATAAGCTGTTTTTAAATTTGTTGGTATTTTTTCAACTAAGCTTTTGGGATGGACTCTTTTTAAGCAACGAGAGTGTATGTTCCGGGGAGGGGCAGACACTATATAATTGTATTATGATTGGAGATAACATTGGCGTTTACATGTATATATTCAAGTGAGCCGAAAAATAATTATAAACTTTTATTCAATATAAACCTTAGGATCAATGTTTACAGAGGGAAAAATACAAACAAAAATAAAGTTAAAGTAATACATTTCATAACATGCATATAAATTTCAAGATATATAGTTGGAAGACATGCAAGATAAAAACGTAATAAGAAATCGTTAATTGAGCAATCAAAAACTTTACAAAATATTTTTTATATTATACTTTTAAAAAACTTTGCAGAAATTCTAATAAATATACAATATTTAATCCAAACATCCGAAACATTGCTTTTAGTGTATAATTAAAGCTGGTGAATGAAGAATTTTTATTTGGAAAAAAAAATCAAAAGTGCATACTGTGCATATGAAAATATTCAATGCAATTTAAGTTGCATATGTTTGAATTCTCAAACAATATAAAGATTTAAAAAAAAAGTAAAATACGACATTTATAACGTTTTGTTTCCCCCAATATTTCTCATGTTAATGGATTAAAAGTAGTTTTATATTACGAGGAATATATTAGAAAAATACATATTTCTAAATACTTTTATGTTCAACAGAGAAGAAGTTTTACACAAGAACAAAAAAAATTATATCTTGCCAAAACACACATTACGGCAGACAAAATCCCAGAGTCATGATTGGTAAAACCGATTTTCGAAAAATATTACCTCTATTAAGCATCACTATTTGATACAGAATAAACTTTTAAGTCTTAAAGATTTCATTAGCAAAATTAGCATATTGACCTGAAATGAGTAGTATTAATACTGTCTTAATCAGTACAGAGTGACTAAAACGTACCCTGCCAGTATACAAAAGCTTGCTATTCATCATCCTATACTTAATATTTGTTATAACCATTCATTCTTAAATTTTTAAAATCAATATATTATTTTAAGACATTAAACAAGTTTTCCAAAATATCTAATTCATAAACAATAATAACAAGTTTTTCTCAGTTGACAAAAGGAAAATTTGCAGATCTAGACACAGAAGTTGTGACAGTTTCAATGCATAACATTCAATGGATAATTTTTGTCCGGTATTTCACAAAGTTTCTGAAACTTAAAAACCATCTTTCCTCAGTATTTCTTAGAAAAGAATGTGGTCTTATCAGTAGGGGACAGTTCTATAAGTCCAGCATCTACAATGAAAAAAATGATACAGGATTAGCCAACACAGCTCTTTGTTGCAAACATTTCATTCTACTTTGATATAAATTCAAAATGAATTTGAAGTCAATTCTTAGTGTTTAATTTACGACAACAGTTACATTTACTAAACTCTATTTTCAAATTTCCCCATTTAGGTCATCTTTATGGTAAAGATCGTAATTACATCAGGTAAATATTATCAAAATTAATACATGTTAACATTTATTTGCTTAAAAAACAATTACATAATTGTTTAGTCTCTCAAAGATAACTTTACCATTATGCAATGTATATCAAAAATATATTTTAAAATGCAAAGAAATGTATAGAATATGTTCATTCAGTTACTGAAAATAAATTGACAAAACCTCTTTCGGAATATAAACAACGTTTTTGTGGTACCTCCAACAAATCAATTAAAAAAATGTTTCTTCTGACTTTTTTTTTAAATGAAAATGAAATTTGGAGATATACCTTCCTCCTCTGTAGGGTTAGGCTCTGGTAGTTTTTGAGGTGGGCTTTTCTTTTCGTGATCCAAATATGATTCTACACAGTCATACAAGAACTGGTACTGTGTCTAGAAATACACAAACAATTATATACACCGCATACATCACTTCCTAGTTCATTCTTCAAAATACATGTACATTGTTCATTAAGATGAAAGATTTTAATTCATTCAGAACAATTCATTTTAAAAATCATTTTATATTTAGATCGAAGAAAGACACACACACCCACACACACACACACACACACACACACACACACACACACACACACCCTCACACACACACACACACACACACACACACACACACACACACACACACACACACACACACACACACACACACACACATACACACACCCACACACACAAACACACACACACACACCCTTGCGTGCGTGAAGGGTTTCAAACGGGGACATTTGTTTGTTTACACACCTTCCAACCGGGGACGACCTTCCAACCGGGGACGTCCCCGGTTGTCTTCGATTAAAAATAGCGCCAAATTCGAAATCAGGGATGTCTAATTACCCCAAAAAGCCGAAAAAATCCATTTTTTAACATGTTGAAAAAATGTCCCCGGTTAGTTAGGATTAAAAGATGTGTGTTAGTGTGAACTTTTCATAATTAGCGAAGGTTCGTACTTGGGGGTTACACACGTGTCCCCGGTAGTATAGTGAAAAACGTGTCACGTGACCTTTCCTGAAACAAACATTACCTTGAGATATATTCTCTTTCTTATTTTTAAGTCCGTATTTTTTTTTTAAATGTTAAGGTTACATATATTATTTTACGTTACTAGGGCATGATCATCAGCCAGTCTTACAAACATTCTTGTCATTGGAAAATCTGGATTATAGATGTACGATTGACTTAGTATTTACGCATGTAAATTAAATTTCTTAATCGAGCCTATAATTTTTTTAAGGAATGAAGGTTATTTAAACTTATGTTATTCGAATGATTCGAAAATTCTAACATAACTTGGAGCAGTTTGCACGTTATAAACCACGAAATATTGCAGTTTGATGATTGGCGATAAGCAGTAACGATACATTCAGCATAATTCATAGGCGTCGAAAGCAAATTAAACTGGGGGGGGGGGGGGGCTAATATTAAAATGGGGCTTATCCCCAATAAAACCGTAAACCCTATTTTCAATGTCCACATAATGTATTTCTTTGCAAAAAAGTGGAGGACTTAAGCCGATAAATCGAAATAATATTGTTTATACTATGTTTGAATTCTGCAGTAGGGTTGATTTTCTTAAAGCTTAAACATAATTCTTGATTTAGTGACAAAATAATACTCATTTAGATAAAAATGCTTTAGTATCATTCGCATAGTTAATTTAAAAAATTTCCTGTAAATATAAATTTCACCAGAATTGAACGTTGTCATGCATTGGGGGGGGGGGGGATAAGAGCGAGGTTGGGGTTGGAAAGTTATAGCTTACAGTGTTTTTACCATTTTATTTCTAAGCTGTTATTTGCATAGCTAAGGATAGTAGACATATCCATATACATGCATGAGATTCCTACAATGTGCCTTGTAATAGTAGTGGGGCAAAAGCTAGCTGCAGAACGGTAGTTATCCGAAAAAATATTTTGACAGACTGGAGAGCTACAGTCCCATTCATTGTGAAAACTGTATATTTATTGCCTGGACAAAAAGCAGCGCTTAGTTCTGAATTTATTCTTCCAATTTTTTTTTAACTCAACTGCAAAAAAAGATATATCTTTAAAAACTCTCGTTCAAATGTAGGACTGGTGACATCTGCACAAAGTGCGTTGGACCAAATTATCTTGCAAACCAAATTGAAAGTATAAACAGTCGAAATTTTTGTAGATCACAGGAGGGCTATTAACAACAATAAAATTTAAAAATTAAGCTTCGACAGTCTGAGATTTCTGAAGGGGAGAGACACTGGAAGGAATCCAAAAAAAAAATATCAACAAATGCCTCGCTTCATGAAAACGAAATGTTTAATGTGATGTTGAAGAGAAGGAAGGGGGTTATGCTGCAATATTTCCATTTCTAATTTTTCTCTCTCTGATAACTCTTTGAAACTTAGCGGAGTTAATTCCTTGGTAATTATACCGTTATGTAAGTTAGGCAGGTCTTTAGGTCAGGAGCTAAGGAGACGTAATATGCATTCAAATCTCGTGCGAATCTGTCTGCGAGTCTAACGCTAAGGAGACCAAATTTGCATGAAAATCTCGTGCGGCTGCTGTTGTGTTTGACTTCAGTGACCGATGGCTATTGAAATTGGGATGGGAATCCTCGTGTAGTTTAAATTTATGTCTGCATTTTATTTAAGTCTAAATCTACAATTTCATTTTCAAAATGAAATGGAAATATAAGGAATCACTGTCTAGGAAACATGGGATGATTTATGCATAATGGGCTTCGCCCGTTATGCAAATTATCCCATGTTTCCCACTATTGTTGATGCTCTGGCGTACTATACTAACTAGACAGTGATTCCTTAATTTTATGCTGTCTATATGCCACAGCGATCTGATCATACCCCTTAGAATTCGAAGTGTGTGAAGACAAGATATTGAAAAAAAACCTATATGCTATATAAAACCTGTGCGATTCATAAAGTTAGCTTATATAGAGTATTTACGATAAATCTGATTAATTAAAAGGATCCTTTATCTATAATTAACCAGTTACCATTGTAAATATTCGTACAACCATGATATCTGCTACTAGTATTTTCAAATTAAAAATATAAAAAAATCATATTTTTAAAATACACAGAATAAGACGCAGTCCACTCCCGGTACGTCGGTACGTGGAAGTTGTTATGCATGGACATATACACGTAGTACAATGCTTACGTTTGATCACAGTCGAAAGAGAGAAAGGAAGAAGGCATTAAGAATAATGAAGAAAAATTTTTAATCATTTGACTGCTTTTATGAAAAAGGGTCCTTAAAGACATACGCAAGGTACCTTACCTGCTGATAATTTTTCAAGATATTTTAAATTTAAGATTATAGTGTCATCAGATGTTTATAGACAAAAAATCAGCATGCATTACCGGGGTTTTTCAAAGATAACAAATTATGAAAATTTTTACATTATTCAAAGAAAAGTATATACAAAAATTACAAAACACAATTTACAGACTCTTTTTCAAAATTTGTTTAAGAAGAGGTGTGCAAATCCATAATTATATAAAATTTTAAAGTATTGCACACAGGTCCATCATCTAGTAGAATTCACCTCCAGGGAAGAGCTCAATAAATTTCAAAGTATGTTGCATATGACCTTAAAGTCAAAATTTCAAATCGGTATCGTCGTTATTCAGTAAGAACGTATAATGACGTCGCGTGCAACGAATTAAGTTTCCAATCATTCAAATAACTTTTATAACATATATAAACTCTTAAAAGATGTTTTTTTTTTTTTATAATTTTCTTCTTTCAAGATCTTAAATTTTCAATATATATACTATGAAGATGAATTTGTTTTCTTCAATAGGCAGATCTAGTAATTTCGACGGGGTTGGGGGGTATATACAGATTCTGAAAACAGATTTTGTAAATTTGGAAATATAATATATGTGTACCGTACAATTCAACACTAAGATATTTGATATTTGAGCTCGATTAAAAGATACAAAGCACTTGTACATTTAGACATAAAAACTACTGATGACTTTTTCTATTAAAAATGTCGGATGGTCATTTAAAGGAAGTAAATCATATCTTGGCAGCTTAATATATTGTTTCTTTTCAAATTGTTTCATGCATATACTTTTAAGAATAAGTACACTACTGTCGATGTAATTATTACTTCACTTTAATATTGATTTATGCGCTTGGAGGTTTGATGAGGCGTGGATGGGAGTTCCACATTTACTGTATTTAATTCCTAAACAAAATTCAAACTCAATTTCAAGCTTTCATCCGAACAAAACAAAATAGAATCAAAAGTAATTGTTATCAGAGAATAGCTTTTCGGCATTTTAAATTTTATAATTGCTACCTTTTAAAAACACTCCGTATTTTTACTCAATTCTCCTCCATTGAAGTTTTAGAATAATTCATAAACATGTTCCTTCTTGTATTTTGATAAGCCTAAGGTACATGTATATACATACGTCATTCACATTTTTTTTTGTATTTGCATGTTATATACAGGAATATCTACTTTTGTATTGTGATCATTTATACCCACAATGCCCCCTATTGTATTGTGAATTTTTATACACAAATGTCCTCTATTGTATTGCACCGGTCACGGTAGCCTAGTGGTAGAGCGTTCGCTTCGTGATCGGGAGGCCCGGGTTCGATTCTCGTTCGCGGCGCCGCGTCATACCTAAGACGTAAACAAAGGTAGTGACTGTTCCTTCGCCAAGCGCTCGGCACTAGAAGTGAAAGTCACGGGTCTTTCGGATATGACCTTAAAAACGTAGGCCCCGTGTCACGGTAGGCGCTGGCACGATAAAGAACCCTCACTGCTCAATGGCCCTGAGTGCCGAGTATAGGTCAAAAATTTGAAGCCCTTCACCGGCACACGGTGACGTCTCCATATGAGTGAAAAATTCTCAAGAGGGACGTTAAACAATATACAATCAATCTATTGTATTGTAGATTTTTATACACAAAATATGTCCCCTATTGTGTTGTAGTTTTTTATACACAAATGTCCCCTATTGTATTGTGTATTTTTATACACAAAATATGTCCCCTATTGTATTGTGTATTTTTATACACAAATGTCCCCTATTGTATTGTGTACTTTTATACACAAAATATGTCCCCTATTGTGTTGTAGTTTTTTATACACAAATGTCGCCTATTGTATTGTGCATTTTTATCCACAAAATATGTCCCCTATTGTGTTGTAGTTTTTTTTATACACAAATGTCCTCCATTGTATTGTGATAATTTATACACACAGTTCCCCTATTTGATTAAGATATTTTTTTTTATTTATTCCCAATATTTACTAGTATTAACAAATTCTTTCTGTTGTTGTGCTGTATCTTTTACGATGTTTTTTTACTGATTCGCGAATGTCTCCATATAGCTTACTAATATTCTTTA